AGCCCATCATCTTTTCAGCTCTTCTACAATTTCCATAATTACCACCGCTTTGCTGGCTATGAAAATTACAGCCACCAGGACAACAGGATTGCCTGTCATCTGTCGTTTGAAGACAAATGACTTCTATGGCCCCTTTTGTGTGGCAGTGTCCCATGAAGCCTCTGGGAAGCTATTTGGTCCTCAAGGGGGTTGACATCAGTACTAAGCTGTGGGCAAGCATTAGCTTGCTGAAGTTCTCCATAGTACGTAGGAGAGACGGAGAAGCAGCTGTGTTGCCTTGCATGTAATAGAATAGTAGAGTTGGAAGGGACCTTGGTGGTCTCCTAATCCAACCCTTGGTGAAGCAGGAGACTCTTTGCCATGTCAGACAAATGTGTTGTCCAGTCTCTTCTTAAAAACCTCCAATGATGGAGCACCCATAATTTTTGAAGGCAAGCCATTCCACTGATAAATTGTTCTCAGTGTCAGGAAAGTTCTCCTTAGTTCCAGGTTGGTTCTCTCTTTGATTAGTTTCCATCTGTTGCTTCTTGTCCTGTCTTCAGGCGCTTTGGAAAATAGCTTGATTCCCTCTTCTTTGGGGCAGCCCCTCCAATATTGGAACACTGCTATCCTGTCACTGCTAATCCTTCTCTTCATTAAACTAAACATAATTCCAGCAACCGTTCTTCGTATGTTTTAGCCTCCAGGCCTTTAATCATCTTTGTTGCTCTGTGAAAGTCCTCAAGATCCCTCACTTTCTTACACCTTAGCTGGGTAACCTCAAAGGTGTTTTTTCAGAGGTGCCTCAACAACTCGCTAAAGGAATGCAAATGACCAGATATCTGCAAAGAGTATAAATCCTTCCATTCCCCACCATCCAGTCAGAGCTGAAGAAGCTTCTTGAATGAGAAGCGAAACGTCTTCAGAGAGAAAAAAGAAAGTCCAGTTGCCTTTTGAAGAAGCAACTTTGGGACAACCATAGCTTGGATGACTGAGAATTTCCATAGACACTTAGCTGGATAAGATTAATAGTTAAACTGGTGTTGAAAAGCCGAGTTTCCCCACCAGCTTGCAGTCCAATGCCTTTTATTTGAAGATTCCTGAAATGTCTTGCAAAGAGCTATGCCGAGGTCAAGGGTCAATCTCATCCATTTATTATTGATGCTACCAGGAAAAAAACAGAACCTGCTGATACACACACACACACACACACACACACACACACACACACACACAAGTCCTGGCTTTAAATTGTAGGGGACTTTAATGTATTCCTTTGCACACTGATCTGCAATTATTTACAGGTAGTTTCCAACTTACAACAGTTCATTTAGTGCCTCTTCGAGGTTACCATGGCACTGGAAAAAAGTGACTTAATCTGTTTTTCACACTTACAACCTTGCAGCGTCCCCACGGTCACATGATCAAAATTCAGATGCTTGGTAACTGACTCGTATTTATGACGGGCTGCAGTGTCCCAGTGAACTTTTGCGAACTTCTGACAAAACTCAATGGAGAAACCAGAGTCCCTTTAACAACTGTGTTACTCAGCAACTGCAGTGATTCATTTAACAATTGTAGCAAGAAAGATCGTAAAATGGGCAAGACTCACTTAACTGTCTCACTTAGCAATAGAAACTCTGGGCTCAGTTCTGATTGCAAATGTACACGGTTGAATACATAGCGAGTTGTACAGATGCCAGTTCTCTGTGGCTGCAAAACAACCGCAATCTAGACGCATGCGTCAGGGAAAAAAAAACCTTGGTTTTGATGATTTGATTTGCTCCTTGATTACAGTTGAGGCTGAATAAATACCAGCGCCTTTTCTGGCCTCCAAATTCTCCTGCAGGATTGAATGAATGGGAGCCACACAACCGCAAATGTTGTATGGCTATAGTTGGGCCAGAAAATGGACTACTTGGGCATAGAGATAAGATAACCTTTATTGTCATTTTTATACTGTGGGCACAATGGCACACATCAAAAATGAAATTTAGTTGCCCACTCTCAAAAGTGAAACATACGTGACACACACCTAAACATACTATGAACAAAATATGTATAGACCCACATCCCTACATATACATAACAAATAAATATTAAATACTGTCCATCTTGAATATATAACAGAAGGAGGAAACTTGAGAGTTCGCAAGGTTAATACTGAATGGAATGAAACTATGGCTGAATCTGGATGTTCTGCTTCGGATACCACAAAGCCCCCTCCTCCCAGAAGGGAACTAGGAAAACAGGTCATAGAGAAGATGTGTAGTGTCCCAGATAATCTATGGACCCTGCTCAAGCAGCGCTTCTGTCCTATGTCTTGGATGGGAGGGAGGGAACTTCCAATGATCTTTTCGGCTGTTCTCACCACTCTCTGCACCTCATGCAGAGATCTATCAGAGCTGCTGCTGCTGGTGGTATAGAAAGCCTTGGTACTGCATGTCGGTTTTGGACTACATGCCAGCACATCCATTTTATTAAGTTCTGCTTGTTTGTCATGCAATGTTTTTAGTAGAATCACATCAGCAAGTTAAGGGGGTAGATTTTGCTCTTGGCCTCCTTCCAGCTGGCTGGAAATTAATGCCAGGTTTGAAATGAAACCACCAAAAATTGGCATTGCTTTCATTCTCCAGTCCACTGGATGACACTAATGAGGTCATGAAGGCATATGACCTACCTGCCTGCCTGGCTGTTAAATCGTTCCATTGGTTATTGAACTCAGAAGATGGCTTGAATGCCTCCCCTAAAAAATCTATTCCCCTCCCAAATATTATGAACACATTTTTCTATTTGAAAAGTCCTACTGAAAATTAGATGGCTTCTAACTTGCCCTGTATCCAAGTAAAGAGAAAACCTTATGTAAATGGCAAAATTAGAAGGAATTTCCCAGGTCACCAAGTTAGTTTTTCTAGAGCACTCTAAAAATTAAATCCATTTCAGTTACAAACCTTTGTCCCTCTAAGTAGGAGCTAAGCACAACAGTTACAGGACCATTACTTTAAAAATCTAGGGGCGGCTGAAATTCAAAACATTGGGCAGTGATTATTTCAATGCTCTTCTCTCTCGAGTTCTATATTTTTTAACGATGGGATCGATGAAGCAGCAGAATTGGGCAGTTGAATAGCTGAATTGAATAGATACGGCTGCACTGTCCCATCATAATTAAAATCAAAGATGTCCAACTTTGGCAACTTTAAGACTTGTGGACTTCAACACTCAGAATTCCCAGAAATCTGGCTGGGGAATTCTGGAAGTTGAAGTTCACAAATTTTAAAGTTGCCAAGATTGAGAAACATTGTCCTAAGTCAACCCTGATTTCTGGTAACCAAGCTTTTTTTGGCAGCATCACCAAAGCAGTATGTCATTACTTTCTTCCAATTCCTCTTCTCCTCTTCCTTCTCTTTACAATGATGAATTCCTGTAGGTTTTCCATCCAAATCCTGATCCTGCTTGCTTTTCAGCCAAAACAGATGCTGCTGTGCCATCCATCTGTAGCCAAGAATGACTTATCCATCAATTTAAAAAAAAAAATTAATTACAGCTTACAGTCTACAAAGATACAACACAGAAGAAAAGGAAAACCATTTAGAGTGCTGAATCACAAAGTTAGATCAGTCTTAGAGCAACCTGTTGTAAAATGCCACCATCACTGAAGATGCCGATCTTATGGTGATCCCTCAAGTGAATTGAATGCCTTGCATTTGGCTGATAGAGCACCAAATCGCCCAATGTGTGGCCATGGAGCATCAAAGCAACTTTGTCACTAACACTGAGGGTGATTCTTCTTTGTCCTACTAGCCTGGGGGGAAAAATGATGATGGTTTCCTTTGCTGGGAAGATCTGCAAACCAAATAGGAAAGTGAATCACGAGCCTTGAAAGGCTTGATTGTGCATGTGTGTGTGCGTGTACTTAAACTACAGCCTGTGCTCCCTTCAGAGGAAACTGCTTATTTTTGGAAATTGCAGTTTCCACATATGTGGAGGGAGCTGGATGGTGAAAGCTGGCTTAGTTAGCTTGAAGGAAAAAAGAATCACTCCGGCTTGGACTGGTTTGTTCGAAACTAAGCAAAGCATGTTAGTGTGATGTGTGAACCCAGCTTGAGATAGTTCAATGAAATCTCCATGTTTTGTTTTGGGTTTGTTTTTTTTTGCTTCAGGGGTGAAGAGGTTGTTTTCTAGAACGCCTCATTCCCTTACCTGGGTTCAAACCTTGTGCTAATCTTGTAATGCGGTTTTATTTTTGTGCTGTGAATTTGTTACGCCACGCACACTGATTTGTGCCTGACATGTTTGGGGCAGCGTTTTTCCGAACTCGGCAGCTTTTAAGATGAGTGGACTTCCACTCTCAGAACTCTCCAGCCAGGATGCTGGCTGAGGGATTCTTTTAAGAGTGGAAGTCCACCCATTTTAAAAGTTACCAAGTTGGACAAACACTGCTTTTATAGCCGACGCCATGTGTGAATCCACCACGTGCAACCAAGTCAGACAATGCACCGCAGAAGGGGGAAAAAAAAAAGAAGCGGGCGGGCGAGGAATCAAAATAAGTTTCCACTATTTCAAATTTCAGAGTGAATTTGAAGGATGTTAACAGGAATCCAGTTGGAAGGACAAGACGAGCCGGGTCGCCACAAGGGGGGGGCTGCAATCCTCACAGCGGTCAGCAGAGGGCAGCAAAGACAGCCGCGCTCTGGCGGTCGTCGCCCGGTTACAGCCCCCTCTGCAAGGACGTGGGGGTCTTTTAATCGGAAGGGCTGCACGCAACTTCCCCCTTATAAGCCTCATTAATAAAGGAGGGGGGAAGAGCCCCCCCAAAATCCGTCAGCCACCCCCCCCCCGACGTAAGCGACCCCGTCGCCCGCCCTCTGCATCCCTGATGCGCCACGCGGACCGGCTCCTCCGAAGAGGGGGCGCGGCTAGGCTAATGCCCAGCCAATCCCACGCTCGGCAGGCGGGGCGACGTGGCCGGGCGGACCAATGGAAGCCATGGCAGGCCGAGCCCAAGGACAGCGTGGAGGCGGGGCGCCCGCTCGCTTGATAAACGAGCATGCGCGCTGGCGGCCGCCTGTCAGTCCCTCCGCTTGGGTGGCGGGCCTGGAGCTGAGGGAAGCGGCGGCGCGCGTTGCAAGGTGAGCGGGGAGCCGCGGAGGGGGATGCTTGGCCGCCGACCGGGGCGGCCGCAGGGCTGGGGTCCGGGATGGAAGGTGTGAGGGGAGGGAAGAAAGTAAGAAGCGGGGGGGGCACACCGCCCCCCCCGTCTTCTAGACTAGGAGTCTGCAACCTTGACCACTTTAAGACTGGTGGACTTCAGCTCCCAGAATTCCTCAGCCAGCAGAGTTGGCTGAGGAATTCTGGGAGCTGAAGTCCACCAGTCTTAAAGTGGTTAAGGTTGCAGACCCCCTGTTCTAGACTGCCCACCTGGGCTGCTCCCCCTACCTGTTGCCCCCCCCTCACCGCCCTCTAGAAGACCTGGGCTACAACTCCCATCATTCTCCGCCAGCCTCCTCGTTTCGTGGCACTAAGGGCGCTGATGGGAGTTGTAGTCCAGTTCTGGAGGGAGGTGGGGAAAGTGCCATGTAGATAACCCTTTATGGTGTATGTCTTCGCCTTCCCCACCCCAGATCTTGGTCCCCAGGCCTGGATGGGGCTGCTGCCCCCCCCCCCGGCCCATTGGTGCCCCTGTAGGGCAGGGCTCCTCAATCTGGATGCTTGAAGTCTGGAGTTCAATTCCCAGGATTCCCCAGGAAGCATGGGCTGGGGGATTCTGGGAATTACAGCCCAGACGTCCTAAAGGAGGCAAGGTTGAGGAACACTGGGTAGGAGGTGATCTCTTCTTCCCTTCTCTGAGAGTCTGCGAGCCAGGGGGGATGTCCATTATAGAGTAGAATAACAGAGTGGGGACCTTGGAGGTCATCTAGTCCAACCCCCTGATCAGCTAGGAAACCCTTATCCCATTTCAGACAAATGGTTGTCCAGTCTCTTCTTAAAAACTTCCAGTGTTGGAGCATTCACAACTTCTGGAGGCAAGTTGTTCCACTGGTTAATTGTTCTCACTGTCAGGAAGTTTCTCCTTAGTTCTAGGTTGATTCTCTCCTTGATTGGTTTTTATCCGTTGCTTCTTGTCCTGCCTACAGATACTTAGGAGAATAGCTTGACTCCTTCTTCTTTGTGGCAGCCCCTCAAATATTGGAACACTGCTATCATGCCACCTTTAGTCTTTCTTTTCATTAAACTAGACATACCCAATCCCAGTAACCGTTTTATATATGCTTTAGCCTCCAGTCTCCTCATCATCTTTGTTGCTCTTCTCTGCACTTATGTTGAGCTTAGCCAGGAAAAGTGGGTTATGGATAATTTGTCTGATGTGGGCTGGGCTGGCTTCCTAAAAAGATGTCTCTTTAGCTCCATGCTGTCCATCTTACCCTCTGTATCTACCCTCTGATATCAGCTCGGGTTTTGACCCCAAACCACTCTTAGTTTCCAGCTTACTTTCCTTCTTCCAGGCTGATCCAGTTCCTCCTCCTCAAAGTCTGAGGTCGATACCAATCTGCCTGCTGTTCTGTAAATTTCCCAGTATAACTTGCCGATATACATTTTCTTCCCTCCGATCATGATAGACTTAATGTGCAGGTTGTTTCTCAAGCCAGCTAGTCTCCGGATGTCTGTACTTCAATTTCCACCATTCTAGGCCATGGCAGAGCTCCCTTTGAATTTAGGGCATTGAAGTTCATATGTTGAGTGTGTGTCCAGGCTGGATAACACTGATTTTCACCATTCACAAATAGCTTCAGAAGTTCCTCTTCCCCTCAGTGGTTTATTAAATAGTTTGCTGCCTTTTACTAAAATCAGTTAACTTATCACGCACATAACATAACAGAATATATGCAGCCAGGGTTGAGCTTGCTTCGAACAAGCAAAGTTGGAGACCACAAATGACTCCACATAACACAATCTCAGGTTTACCTACGATAGTTCTCCCCGGCATCTTTCCAAATGGGCTTGATGCCAGAATGTACTGTATTTCCCATTCCACCTTCAGTTTCAGCGAGCACTCTAACCCCTCCGAACCAAAGTTCTCTCTCTGCATTTGATCCTTGTACGTATTATAATTCTTCTTGTTCGCTGCACACATTCTAATCGTTTCCCTCTGGGTATCAACATCCCCCTCTCCTGCCCAGCCGTATTCCCTGAATTTGAGAATTGTGGCTTTCTTTCCCAGGAGCAGTCTGCTCCTCCTTTCCATTTCTGCACCCTCAGTGCCTAGTAGCTGAAGCTGGCCGAGCTCTACCATTTAGAAATTCTCTTAAGAATGTATGTTTACTGTATTCAAATACAGTTTTGTATCTCAGCCCCATTCTGCAGGGACTCAACATGCTAGGACAGACCTTACAGGATACCGTCACTTATTCTTTCTGTCTCATGGGGAGTCGGCAAGGTGAAGTGAGAGGTGCTTGTTGAAGAGAAGAGTGGAGAGAGGAGATTCTGAAAGGCCTGGCTGGTAACTCTGGCACAGAGTCGTTAGGTTTGCAGTGTTGTGTGTGTGGGTCTCCCCTCTGTAGAGATGTGGGGGGCTCAGGAGGGCTTGGCAGAATATTTGCAATAGCAAGGAATAGGTATTGGGGTCATCAGCAGGCAGAGGCTGTGTAAGACACACTGGACTACGCCCAAATGGGATTGGAGAGTTTGTGATGTATCTTACCATCACATTAAATTGGACTATTTATCTGGAGTCCTCGTGTGGTGTGACCACAACCTCGGTGTTTTATTAGGCTGTGTAAATGTCCATTTTCTTAGCTGTACAAGTGATGTGTGTCTGTGGGCTTGAGGGGCAGTGATACCAGGAATATTTGGACTTTGTAAGAGGACTGATAAAGATCCTACATAAGAAATATTGGATGTGCTCTTGATGCTCAGTGTATGATGAGAGTATGATGAGGTGGAACTAAATGTGAGCAATTTGGCAGAAGAATATTTATGGAGTCCTGAAGTGGTGTTCTCTGAGCTTGCTTGTTTGCTTGCAGACATTTCATTACCCAAATAGATAACACCATCAGTGCAAGCGAGTGTGGGGTGTGTTCCCTGTTTATACACAGTAGCTTGTGCTCTCAGGGTTGGAGGAATGTGATTTCTCCTTGGTGGTTCCTTGACTGTGGTATTGTTTTCTGCTTGGTTCTTTGTGAGGTGTTAATCCCTGCTTATCTGGGTGTTTGTTGCTGGAGAGGATGTGCCCTAGTTGTTTTGTTTCCTTAGCTTTCTTTATTGTCTCTTCTGAGTGGTGTTTAAAGATAAAGTCCACAGTTCAACTCTGAACTACTTATAATCTCTTCTGGAAGAATATTTATCCAGTTCCTATCAAACTTAGACAACTCTTGGAAGTAGATGCACTTCTGGGAGAAATTTGGTCAGCTATTACGGGCCACCAATGAAACTGGGCATGGGGAGGTTATTTTGGAAGGAGTGTGGCAGATTTATTAAGATAGAGGCTGAGGAAGCTGAGGATAATCAGATAGTTGCAGGAATAGTTGTGTGTGTGTGTGTGTGTGTGTGTGTGTGTGAAGGGAGAATGGTAGCAGGAAGGGATTTGGACCAAAGCTGGCTGAGGAATTCTGGGAATTGAAGTCCACAAGTCTTAAAGTTGCCAAGATTGAGGACCCCTGTTCTATGCCATATTGTACTGCATGTAAACAGCCTCATTTTATATCTTACAAGTATCGGCATACATTACAGAGCTTCAGTATTCAAGAGAAGCATCGTACCCCCTAAAGACGAATACTGCAGCAACCTGTTTTATAAAATAAAGATCTCCTCGACTTTATTGTGGCAGTGCTTAAACTAAACTCTCGGTTCATCCTGGCAAATGCTGAAGGAATGTCCCAAAAGTTATCGGGCGAGATGGAATATAGAATTAAGAGCGTGTGACTTGCTCTTGGCCAGAGAGTTGGTCTAGTGATGGCAGTTTCTTGGCAGAGCAGGAGGTGTGAAGGAGTGTTGCTCATTAAGGCCTGGCTCTTAAATTTTTTGAGAGAAGACTGAGCAGAAACGTAAGCTGTAAAGTAGCAGTTTTCAAAACTGGCAACTTGGACTTCAACTCCCAGAATTCCATGGCTGGCAGTGGAATGCTGGGAGTCGAACTCCACAGGTCTTAAGGTTGCCAGTGTTGGATACCCCTGGTGTAGATATATCCACATAGAGTTCTTTTTTTCTTGGCAAAAGTAAGAAAGCAGATTCCCATTGTCTTCTTATAGGATATATTTTTGACTTCACAGTGGTAGGTAGGTAGGTAAGTAGATAGATAGATGGATAAATAGATAAGCTGGGTAGGTAGGTAGGTAGGTAGAGATAGATAGATAGATAGATAGATAGATAGATAGATAGATAGATAGATAGATAGATAGATAGATAAGGTAGGTAAGTAGATAGATAGATAGATAGATAGATAGATAGATAGATAGATAGATAGATAGATAGATAGATAGATAGATAGATAGATAGATAAGGTAGGTAGGTAGGTAAGTAGATAGATAGATAGATAGATAGATAGATAGATAGATAGATAGATAGATAGATAGATAGATAGATAAGGTAGGTAAGTAGATAGATAGATAGATAGATAGATAGATAGATAGATAGATAGATAGATAGATAGATAGATAGATAGATAGATAGATAGATAGATAGATAGATAGATAGATAGATAGATAGATAGATAGATAGATAGATAGGTAGGTAGGTAGGTAGGTAAGTAGATAGATAGATAGATAGATAGATAGATAGATAGATAGATAGATAGATAGATAGATAGATAGGTAGATAGATAGATAGATAGATAGATAGATAGATAGATAGATAGATAGATAGATAGATAGATAGATAGATAGATAGATAGATAGATAGATAGATAGATGCGTTTCTCAATCTTGACCACTTGAAAATGTCTGAATTTCAGCTCCCAGAATCCCCTGTGCTGTGCTGAGTAGGGAATTCTGGGAGTCGAAATCTACATAACTGAAAGTTACCAAAGCTGAGAAACATTGACCTAGAGCAGGCATGCCAAACTGCCGTCCCGCGGGCCAGATGCGTCATGCCAAAACCTCACCCACCCCATTGTCGGCAATGGGGAAAAAGTCTTGATATGCTGCATGACGTCGCGAGTTTGACATGCTTGACCTAGAGCCTTCATTTCCTGATATTCAAATACTAACTAGGTCTAATCATGCTTAAGTTTTTGAGATCAGCTAATACTCCCACCTGCAGTGGCACAATAGAGATGTAGCTGGCCTGGGGGACTGCTGGAATTCCATTAGGAAAATACGCATTGTGTTTTGCACAACCAGTAATGTGCAGTACTGCTGTTCACAGTAGAGCACGCTTTAAAAAGCCCATTTTTCTGGTCTGGTTTCAATCTACCCAACCCAATCAATCCTGATCCGCCGTTAGTAGCTATTAAATGGTCCTTTCCATCTTTTTCTTAGTTCAACCTCTTAACAAATTTGAGTTCTGAATTAAGAAAGAATGTGATACTACTTATCCTATTTATTTATTTACTTAAGAACAGAACAAAAATCCAACTGATACAAATTACAGCTAAGAACCAGTTGTGGGTCCATTAAACATCTTGGCTTCATTTGTTGCAGGTTTGTTTTGTGCTGATCATTTCAGGCGAAGAGGACCCTTCTCCTGTAACTCATTTCTTCTGAGCTAGTAAGTATCCTCATAATATCATCCTATGAGAGGAGGGGCTTTGAAAATCATTTAACTCAGCTGGACTTCTCTTGAACCAAGAGCTGCAAGGTTGGTTTCTCTAGTGGAGGACGGATTGTCTGAACCGCAGAAAAGTTTTCAAAAAGCAGTGAAGCAAGGGGTCTTCCAGGGTCAAAAACAGAAGTGTTCCCGTGTTTCTGTATTTCCAGAGCACTTGAATAAATGTCCTAGAGGCAAAACTATTCTACTTGATACCGGGGCTTATTGAAACACTTCTGACATTAGTTGAAATGTGTAAGAGTTAGCTTCCAATGTTGGCCATCACTCATGTCCAATAGATGTAGATCAGGGGTCCTCAAACCTGGCCTCTTTAAGACTTGTGGACTTCAACTCCCAGAATTCTGGGAGTTGTAGTCCACAAGTCTTAAAGTGGCAAAGTTTGAGGACTCCTGATGTAGATGGTCTATAACTGTCTTTACAAATAGTTTTCAACTTATTCATTTAACAACCATTCCAAGTTAAAACAGCACTGAAAAAGGGACTTGTAACCTTTTTTCACACTTATGACCATTGAGCATCCTCACGTTCACAAGATCAAAAGCCAGACGCTTGGCAACCGGCATAACAACTGTCCTGCTTGAACAGAAATTTTGGACTCCATGAGTCCTGAATTAAGTTGAGGACTACCTGCCAGTATATAGAAATCCTTTACGCTTTCAGGGAGAAGCTGATTAATTTTGCACAAAGGTTTTGTGTATATTGGAGTGCCTAAATTGTGGCTCAGCTTTAGATATGCGAGTCCAGCCCATTGCTATTTCTTCAGTCAACCCAAAGAAGTGAAAGGGCAAAAAAGAGAAGAGGGAAAAAAAAGAAAAACAATGCATCCGTGGTTTAGAGAAGATTTCATGTAGCCAGTTGTAATTAGCCACTGCATTTTTGGGGGGTTATAGTTCGGCATGACGTGTGAAACCAACCCTTATGGCTTCATATTGGTCAATAAAACCATGAGTAACGACATTGTTTAGCAAAGCAATTCATTCTCCCGAAAGAGATTGAGAATGTATTTCACTTCCTGATTGGGCCTTGTGCTAAAGACTCTTTCTGGATTTGCTTTTACCTGTGTTAATAGGTATCTGTCACCTCTTTCATAAGATGCTGAATAATGTTTAAAACATCATTGCTGAAACCTCTTCATAATGGGTCTCTTGCCCATGGATTCCACTGAGGTGTGGTCCTTGGCCACGTTAACCCCCAAGAGTGGGAAATTGGCCTAGAAATGAAATGCTGGCAAGGCTACAGACCCTTTTTATAGCTTGCTCTTGATTTCTTACTCCTGTCCTCCTTTTTCCGTTGGCTTTAAAATTGCCACAGGCACGTTCCTTCTCCGGCCTTCTAAATTTCCACCTGAAAAGTTGATGTTAATAGAGGCAGTCCTTGGCTTCCGCTCAAAGTGCTACAGTCCCTACACTAGTTTTAGTTTAATTTAATTTAAATTAAATTACAATTACGCGTGTTCCCTAAATTCACGTCTTTTCAGTGGAAAACTTTTGAATGCTGTTGAGGCTTTGGTGCTGCACTCCTGTTTTACGCAGAGCTCTTGGTTCTTTTCTAAATGGTTCGCTAACAATTGCAGGAGACATTACGTCTTTTTTAAACAAGTCTGCCCTGGAGTAAGCTTAAGAAAATAGTAATTTAAATTCATCTGTCATTCCACCCAAGGCTATGTTTGTGCAAAGGCTTGTGTTAACTTCTCTCCACCCTGTAAAACAACTGTGTTTGAAAGCATTCCTGATAACTTTCTGAAAGCAAAGTCCCAAAATGGGCCTAAGCTTTTAAGACGATGGGAATGCCCGATCCCTCTTTAATAAGATTACTGCAATGCGCTGTGCGTGGGGCTGCTCCCGAAGAGCAATGGGAAGCTTCAACTGGTGCAGAATACAGAGAGTAGTCATTGATGCTGGATATACGGCACATGTTACACCATACTGTGTGTGCTGCATTGACTTACCGGTATGTTTTTGGGTGCAATTCCTGGTGCTGGTTATCGCCTTTAAAGATGACCTGTGTCACTTGGGATCAGGTTTTCTGAGGGGCTATCAATCGAGTATTTTTATTACCGTCTTTGACCAGCCTATACAATCAAAGAATTAGCACAAAAGGAGAAATTGTCTAGGACAGTTATTAGGGAAGGGAAAAATAATAATGGGCCAATAAAATAGCATTGTTGTTGTTAGTTGCGAAGTCGTGTCCGACCCATCGCGACCCCATGGGCAATGTTCCTCCAGGCCTTCCTGTCCTCTACCATCTTCTGGAGTCCATTTAAGCTCACGCCTCCTGCTTCAGTGACTCCATCCAGCCACCTTATTCTCTGTCGTCCCCTTCTTCTCTTGCCCTCCATCTTTCCCAGCATTAGGCTCTTCTCCAGTGAGTCCTTCCTTCTCATTAGGTAGCCAAAGTCCTTGAGTTTCAACTTCAGGATCTGGCCTTCTAAAGAGCATATATAATTTAAAATGTTTGCACAGTCGTGTAACTTGGTAAAAATATTTAGCCACCTGATATGTGAGTGTAGGGTTAGCCTCCCTTAAAAATAACCAGCATAAAATTTACCTGTACGGCCCTTGTATTTGGAAACGATTGGGGAAATCAGAGCACGTTTGAGGGTGTCCTAGGGCATTGATTGAGGACATGGGTGAGTGTTTCTTCCTCCCTGGATCCACAAGGACCACGTCTCTGCGAATAAAGGCATCAAATCGGGCTCTAGAAAAGGCCGATCTATCTTCGCTTAATGTTAAGTTTTGTAAGTACCCCTCAACAGAGGATTTGCGACTGTCTGATAATTGCTGATAGAATGCAGAGACACTGGTAGTAGCTGAAGGACCATCTTTTTCCAAGAGTCTCTGCCCGTCCAATTCAGTGGAGCTGATTGCAGCAGATCCCATCAGAAACCAGAAGATGGACCTTCTCTGTGTAGCCCCTGCTTTGCATAATGTCCTCCCCTTGGAGATTAGAATGGCCTCAGTCCTGCTGTTCTTTTGTAAATCTTTTAAAATGTGGCTGTGTATCCAAGCCCAGAGATCCACTGAATATGCTAAGGCAGTGTTTCCCAAACTTGACAATTTTAAGGCATGCGGACTTCAACTCCCAGAATTCCACAGCCAGCAATGCTGGCTGTCGAATTCTGGGAGTTGAAGTCCGCATGCCTTAAAATTGTCAAGTTTGGGAAACACTGTGCTAAGGTCACCGTTCCTTGACTTTACTGTTCATTGGTTAATTATTTCTGCTGCTGTGTTTTGGATGCTTATTGTTTAAAATGTTTTTAATTGTTTTTATAGTTTTGGAAGTGCAAGCCACCTCGAGTCTTTGGTTCAGATGGATGGCTTATAGAAATTGAATAAATGAATGATTGAGCAACAAATTCATGTAAATATCCATAGCAGAACATCCAGATTCAGCCATAGTTTCATTCCATACAGCATTAACCTTGTGAACTTTCAAGCTTCCTCCTTCCGTTATGTATTCAAGATGGACAGTATTTAATATTTATTCGTTATGTATATGTAGGGGTGTGGGTCTATATATATGTTGTGCATAGTATGTTTAGGTGTGTGTCATGTATGTGTTTCACTTCGAGAGCGGGCAACTAAATTTCATCTTTGATGTGTGCCGTTTTGCCCACAGTAAAAAAAAAATGACAATAAAGGTTATCTTGTCTTATCTTAAGTATGAGAGCATCTAGTTTAATTTTTTGGGACTTTGTTGGATTTGTTAGACAGGTATATTAGGACTGGCCATCGGATACTATTGGCTTTTCTATGGGAATTGCAAAGAGATTTTTATGTTTGATTTGGTTTTTCAGCCTTTCCCATTAACAACTTCCTTTGGGGCTGTGATCCAGACCTGCTCTGAGTCATGCTCAAGTGACTAAAGTTTGAAATCTGTCAGCAGAAATCTCTATTGATTCTGGCTATGAGCCTATCAAATGGGTCAAGAAATGCAGAACTTTTGTAGGTCATATGTAGTGGGGTTGGCAACAGATGTATGTATTTTCTATTTACTTAGGAGCAAAACCCAGCCCACCCGGGTATTTTGAAAGAAAAACCGGCTCAAAGATAGTTTGAGGGAGCAATATGGATGTGTCTGCACAGTTGCCAGAAATTGAGCTTAACTGTAGAAGAGAGTTTTTGAGTTTTTAAAGTATTTTCTGTGGAAGGTACAGGGATAGCAGATTGTGTCTAGGTGGCTCCCATGGGACAGCATGAGTGATTGTTCTGGTTTGGGAACAAGTTTTAAGTCTATAATCTCCTCCACATTTGTTCAAAAAAACATACATACAAAGATATGTGTGTATAGAGAGAGAGCGTGTTGAAGGAAAAGTCTTCATCATGGTTCAGTCCAAGTTGGGAATAAACAACATGGCGACTGCTTTAGAAAGAAGGTTGCAGTTTATTGAAGAGGAGAGCCAGACAGAAAAATGGTTCTGGAAGAAAAGAGAGAGCACATGTAGGGAGTGGGTTTCTATACCCTCTGGAGCCTTTTGTTTGGAGTTGTTTCCTGTTCCGGTTTGAGGTTTTGTATTTATTGTGTCATGTATTCTGACCTGAGTCTGGATGTACCCTTTGGCATCTGTGAGTTAATCCTATTATGTCCTGTCTTAGAGTTTGGGTGGGGTATGTAGATTCTAGGTCTTTGTCTTCTTAATCTTCTAGCTTCAACTTTCCTGAATGGTTTACATCTGCATTTCTACAGAGCTGGTTTCTGCTTGAGGGAGGGAGACTTGGGGCTATTAAGAAAAAGTGGGCATGTTTTTCTGCCTCTTTAACATCCTTTAAGGAAATATATTTTCCTGCCCTTTTAATATTTCCTTCTCTGAGGGGCTGACTTCCCACAAGAGAGAGAGAGACAAAGACAGACAGACAGAGACAGACAAAGACTGTGTGTGTGTGTGTGTGTGTGTGTGTGTGTGTGTGTGTGTGTGTGTGTGTTGAAAACATATGTGCCTGCAGAGATGGATAGATTTGATTGACAAACCGGATAACAAACCAGCCAGTCAGATTTTAGCCTTACCTCTTGGAGAAAGTACATTTGTTTTAAAAGTGAGTCTTGCCTATTTTCTCTTCGTATACTAAACAGGATTCTCTTCTCACCAATTGTCTTTCCAGGAGCTTTAAAGCAATACAGAATAAGAAAGGACACCATGTCCTTGGTTTTGAATGGCCTTTAAGTAGGTTTCTAAACTGCATCCCAGAATTTGGCGGTGAATCTCATCGACAATAGAAAAACTAGATAATGGGCAGCAAGGAGAAACAGAGACAGAGCCTGGGGTTGGAGTCAAAAGAGGAATCAGCCTAGAGTCCTTATGCTCCGACAAGTGGTCCAAGTTCAACACCTCCTGAATTCCGTTAACTTTTATCTAGCGCTAGTTTAGTGCTAACTGTTAAATTGACTAGATTCTTGTGTATAGGCATGAGCAATATATCAGCTTAACTAGAACTTGTGTGGTCCTGATTATTCGCGCCTGATACAAGATCCCAAACAGTTCTCTGTATATTTATTGTGACTTAAGTTATAAAGTTATTTTAAACTTAGAGTAAATAATTATTGTGCTTCTCACACACAAATTCTCTTCTTTTGGCCTAATTACATGGATCTTAATTATAGCTTTTGTCCCAGCACTGTACGGTCCTAGTTAGAGAGCAAGAATTTTTTGAAGACATTTTCTCTGCTTGATTTTTGTAAGCTAAGCCTTGTGGTTTTTTGTTAGGGGTGGTGTCTTTCTGAATCACCACAGTTTCCAGATAATTTGCAAATGGAATGATGCAGGGCAAAAAAAAAAATCCATAAAATATAATACAAGTCAACAAAAACGGTTAAGAAAGCAGAATAAGACTCTGGGACAATATGTGCTCTGTGGCTTTGTTTCACTTTGGAAGCTGCTGGCAAGAATGACAAGGTATCAACACAGTTGGTCAATGCATCTCAAACAGTTGGATTAGTTTAGAGGTTAGTTATCTTTAGGGTTAAAGCCCGTGTTGATTGAAGGAATTTGTGTGATGGTGATCAACATGGATTGCTTAATCAATAGAGGACAAGGACTGTTTACCTCAGAAAAAAAAAACCCCAAGAGAGGTCAACAAGCCCTCTGTGCTCGGAATACTACCTTGCAAAATTAAGAAACATGGACCCAGAGCCATGTTTGTAGACACAGGTTCTCATTTTATCTTCCATGTCCTTCATATACCAGGAAATCCACTTCCTGATCAATAAGTCTTCGTCAAGGTGCCCTTTTGAAGTGACATTTTCAGTTCCGGACACCGAATTTCTTTATTCATGATGTGCTCCCCTTTTAATGTTTGCATTATGAATTATAAGCAGTGGTTAGATTTCCAGTTTACGAAATTAAACATGGTGAGATTCAGTCGAATTAGAGTTGAGATCTGCCTGATTCTGCACAGCACCTGATAACCTGGAGCATTAAAAGGCATTGCAGACAGAATTTGATAGAACAGGTTATCAGCTACAATAGGCTTGAGCAATTGGTGTTCCTCACGTTGCATGGTCTTTTTTTTTTCTTTTTTGTGTGTGACTTCTTAAAGCTCCTCTTGCCTGCATTGCTGGTTTGTGATAGCAAATGCAGAGAAGCTGTAGCTGAAATCTACAAGTTTAGCCACCCTGAATCATCTTGTGGGGGGCGGGAGATGGGCAGCATAGAAATTTGATAAATAAAATAAAATAAATACAAGTGTAGATTTAATAGAATTTAAAACCGGGATGCAAATAGAATAATATATTGGGGAAATCCCGTCTTTGCCCTTATGAATGATGTGGCTGTCCCTCCCTTTTCATTATCCCGCTGGGGCTCTTTCTTCCCCCAAACAATCTGTGGGGCCCTCTCCATTGCCCAGTTATTCCTTCGCTATACTTCGCTGTTCCTTTGAAAGTCACAAAAATTGTCGAATAAATACGGCGAGGAGCAGAGCAAGGGTTGCAAGGAGCTGTACTAATCCAAGGGCCTGGGTCTGTCTTTTCAGCTTTTCAACCATGTTTTGGAGCGGAAGGTGTTGGAGATGGACCTTGGGGATGCAACTATATCTCCTATTTCTGACTTCGTGGACATGGGCTGACACGAAAGCCTTGACTCCACCTCCCATCACAGCAGCCTCCTTTCTGCAGGACCTTTTCCTCCGCTATGGCGAAGAGGACCGGCTCACCTTACTGCAGTTGAAATCTCTATTGACACGCCTGCATGTGGGCATTGAACGCCACAATGTCAGTCACACGCGGCAGCAGCAGCAGCAGCAACACCAGCGGAACCTATCCTGGGTAACCCCCTCCCCTTTCCCATGATGACTCTGTCCTGTTTTTTTTAATTTTAGGGAGGTCTATAAAGGATCTTAACCCTCCCCCAAATTATTACATTTTAATGTAGCCTATCCAGAGAACTTTTGCAGATGTGTCGATTGACGTGCAGTAGAGGCCTTACAGTGCTTTCCTAGGAATTTAAGCCATAATCACTAGAGCAGGGGTCCTCAAACCTGGCCGCTTTAAGACCTGTGGACTTCAACTCCCAGAATTCCCCAGCCAGCCTGGGGAATGCGTGCCCGGCTGAGGAATTCTGGGAGTTGAAGTCCACAAGTCATGAGAGGGCCAAGTTTGAAGACCCCCTGAGTTAAGGAAAGGAGATTAGAGAGAGTGTCTCACCTGTGTGTCTGAAGAAGCACAAGACCCACTGTGGAAATCTCAACCTTTTTTTTTGCCTTGTAGTGCTTCGGTTCTTCAGAACTCTTTGCCACACACAATCTGAGTGAATCATCCCGTCTTGGGCAGAGCGAATTCAAAGAATTCTGCCCAACTATCTTGCAACAGCTGGAGTCAAAGGCATGCATGCCGGAGAACCTGGAGAAGGAAGAAGAAGAAAGGATGAAGGAAGGGAAGCCAAGTTCTACAGAAGGTCTGTGCCTTCAACCCATTTTATTTTGCGCCTTCAGGGCATTTAAGCCTCGGTCTTCCTAGTCACCTTCTCAAGATGTTGTTGAGTGGAGAACTGGTGTCCATCTGGATTGCAAAGTACTCTTTCTAGTCGGTTTCCCCTTTTCAGTTGCCTCCGTGCTGTAAGGGTTAGTCTTGTACAGAATCTGCAAGAAATAGAGGATAAAAGTGGAAGTACAAAGCTTTGTTCTCTTTTCATTTTAAAAAATATGTATGATGCTTTCCAAAACTGGTTTTTCAGGAAGCTTCTGAGCCGGCTGCAAAGATAGCTTTTCAGCTACTTAATTTCAAGTAAGTATCTACTTTGGCGAGTCAGTTTGGTGTAGAGAATTAAGATGCTGGCCCAGAAACCAGGCGAGCTCTACTCCCACCTTAGATGTGAAAACTGACTGGTGATTTTGGGCCAATCACCAGGAGACTGTGAGTTCATGCAAAAACCATGGTGCCTGTTTTGGTCCCTTAGATTCTAATGTTTTAAATGGAAATTTGGGGTATTAATGGGTGTTAAATCTTGCAGGCTTAAGCCACCCATTTCATCCTTTCAATCTCCCAAAATTTAAAAAAAAACAAAACAACAACAAAGGGATGTACAAAAATGTTGGCTCCATTGTTTTGGGGGATTGGGGGATCTGTAAATAGGATGCTAAACACGTTATAGACAAGATCTGAAATGATCTGAGCAAGATTCCTATCTTGCAGAGATGTCTGTAAGCAGAATAACTAGGTCCACAGTTTTGACATATTTTATCCAACTTTCTCTTTAAAAAATAGTTAACCTGTATTGCTTTTTTTGCCGGTCACGCTACCATGGCAGGTTTGTTTTGGCTGTAAGTCGAGCCATCCAAGCCAAACTTTTACTCATTGACTTAACTTGGATGACATTGTGGTGAATGCTTTTAGTCTTTCAAAAATACACGTTCAGCTTTTCCATTAGAACTTTATTTTTCAACGTATCAAGCTCCAGCCTGGTCAAGTTACATGTCAACTCCCCTGCCTTTCTCTGATCTTTTAACACTGTTCATGGATTAGGTTTGAGTGTAAGATGGAACAGCTTCCTCCATCTCCTGGAAAAATTGGGGGAATTAGCCAACTCATTGGATGAGTTGCTCGTTTAAAGCTTCCAAGTCAACTTGCAAAAGAAGTGTTGTGGGATTAGCTTAGACCAGGGGGTCTTCAAACTTGGTCCTTTGATGACTGGTGGACTTCAACTCCCAGAATTCCTCAGCCAGCCACGCATGCCTGGCTGAGGAATTCTGGGAGTTGAAGTCCACCAGTCATCAAAGGGCCAAGTCTGAAGACCCCCTGGTCTGGATCCAAGCCTGCAGTTTCATCAAAATGGCCAACTGAGTAAATCTGGGAGTTGAAGTCCACAAGTCATCAAAGGGCCAAGTTTGAAGAAGACCCCTGGCTTAGACCTTTCCGACATCCCCTGTGTTTAAAGGCCCATTCCCAGTTTTCAATGATTTGGGTAAACGTGCCCTTCTTTCTTCTTGTTTACAGTATGGGGTTTTGGTTTTCTCAGTGTCACACTGATTAACCTTGCCTCTCTCCTTGGAGTCTTCGTCGTGCCCTGCACTGAGAAGGTCTTTTTCACCCGAATCCTAACTTATTTCATCGCGCTCTCCATCGGAACACTGTTCTCTAACGCCCTGTTCCAGCTGATCCCAGAGGTGCAGTAAGACAAACCTCACCTGCTCACAGGTTCCCATCACCATCACTCCACCAATTTATCTTCTGGTACCCGATAGGCTATATTGAATCCTCAGTGGCTTTTGAAATTGGATTTTTCACCTCTGGGGCACAGGCAGGTTTCCTAAAAAAAATAAAGGGAGGAACGAAGGTTCTGCTTCATGTTTCTCCAGCCATGTGCATGATGATATGTGTGCCTGCACATGGGACAAAAATCTAGAAGGCAACATTCAAGTTCCCTCAATGGTGCGATGCGTAGCTCTCCATTCCAGAAAAAAACTGTGATTTTTCTTTCCATAGTGCATGTTATGAGTGGAAGGTTCTTGAAGGATTCTGCCTCTTAATAAGCTTTGACCATAAATGGAAGCTAGCTTGGTTACATTTCCAGTGAGCATTATTAGAATGAGGGGCAGATTGACTTAACTCTAGGTTTTCTAGCCCTGCTGTGTCTTTTTGGTCTGTTAAATGTAGGTGGAGCACCATAAAGGTCATTTTTGTAAAAGGAAAGGAATGAGACACCAGTACATGGGAGGACGTCCTTTTATCTTGATTTCTCTGGTTTCCTTATTGGTTTCTCTTTCAGTAATTGGTTTATTTTCACAAATGGAGGAGATTTCTATGAGCCGCGTGAGATCTAATCTTTAGTAAATTGAGGTTTTTGATTGTACGTTTTGGGATGCCTTAAATATAGCCATGAACTCTAGTTGCAGACTTTAAAGCCATAATTGTCTTCTGGCATAACATTCTGGCTAAGCTTTGGTGGCATAGCTAACTATGTTTCTCAGACAAAGGTGAGAATCGGAATGAGATTTAATTTTGCCCTTTATGCGAAAGACTATTTTTATGAAATTTGATGGTGAAAAAAGTAAGGTTCTACCTTTAGGCAAAAAAAACCAAATGCACAGGCATAGTATAGGTGGTACTTTGCTCAATAGTAGCAACTGTGAGAGGGATCTCAGAGTCCTAGTGGACAATCACTTAAAATATGAGCCAGCCGTGTGCTACAGCTGCCAAAAAAGCCAACTCAGTGCTGGGCTGCATTAACAGAGGGATAGAATCAAGATCACGTAAAGTATTAATATCACTTTACAATGCCTTGGAAAGGCCACACTTGGAATACTGCATCCAATTTTTGGTCACCACGATGTAAAAAAGATGCTGAGACTCTAGAAAGAGTACAGAGAAGAGCAACAAAGATGATTAGGAGACTGGAGGCTAAAACATATGAGGAACGGTTGCTGGAATTGGGTATGTGTAGTTTAACGAAGAGAAGGATGAGGGGAGACATGATAGCAGTGTTCCAATATCTCAGGGGCTGCCACAAAGAAGAGGGAGTCAAACTATTTTCCAAAGCTCCTGAAGGCAGGACAAGAATCAGTGGGTGGAAACTAGTCAAGGAGAGAAGCAACCTAGAACTTAGGAGAAACTTCCTGACAGTTAGAACAATTAACCAGTGGAACAACTTGCCTCCAGAAGTTGTGAATGCTCCAACACTGGAAGTTTTTAAGAAGAGACTGGACAGTCATTTGTCTGAAGTGGTATAGGGTTTCCTGCAGGGGGTTGGACTAGATGACCTCCAAGGTCCCTTCTAACTTTATTATTATTAGTCTCTGTACCAGTCATCTTACTAACTGGCTTCTCTCATTCAGAAAAAAAAGAAAGTAGTAAAAAAGAAATCCATATCCTTCATTTGGAATCCTTTCAACTTTCATTTTGTATGGATAATGCCAGGCTGTCTATAGCCTGGTTCTGTGTAATCCTTTTTTCATAGAGTTCATGGCTATTTTTGTTCCCAACCCGTAAACTTAACGTTTTGTTGCTTGAAAACTAAAATATGTTTTTTGTGATCCAACAGGAACAGAAATAATTGTAAATATGCCATCTCCATTGTTTAATTGTCTTGTAAAAACTGTTGCAATAGGATGGTGCCAATCAGTTGTTAAGAATCTCCATGCCTTGGGAACAAATATTTCAGCAGTGTGCTTGTCCTAAAATAGAGAAGCATAGACACAGGCAACGAATGGCTTGTGTTTTGCCTGTATCACTCTTGGGCTCTGGCACTTTGTCTCCTTCCTGAGTTTTATGTGCTGAATGGGAAAAATGTCCGACTACCTGGCTGGAGACGTAAAGCTTCAGCACGAATCTGGACACCACGACTTGGGTTGTGGTGAGCAGGCCCCTTGCCATAAAATTAGCCAAACTTCCAATCTGGTGCAAATTACTGGATTAATACTAGAGACCCTTATAGTGAGGTTATATAATTTATTTATTTCACACCCCTCTCACATCAAAATGACTCTGGGCAGCTTACAGCCTTTAAAAACACGAGCATCCTAACAGATAAATGTTTCCAAAACAAGAAAAATGGAAATCCCAATCAAAATTAAATTATAGTTGAACAATGGGGCGAGAGGGAACGGAATGCCTGAGAAGGCGATGGGATGGCCTCTTAATTCATCAACCACCTCCAAGGTGAGGCTCCCTCATTGGGGCCCCAGGCCATCTGGCAGTGCCAGGTTTTCAGGTTCTTGCAGAGGTTAGGAGAATGGGAGCCCACCTCACCTCCGGGGGTAAGATGCTCCAAAGGGCAGGAGCCACGGCAGAGAAGGCCCTTCTCCTGGACCACGGGTAGGCAACCGTGGCTCTTTTATGACTCGTGGACTTCAACTCCCAGAATTCCTGAGCCAGCCATGCTGAGGGGAAAGGGAGAGGTTTCCAAGCTGAGCCAGGCTGGCTCAGGAATTCTGGGAGTTGAAGTCCACGACCATGTTGGAAGGAGCTTTCCGTAGTGCTACAGGGCCCAAGAGTGCTTCAAGCATGCCTGAATCAATCTTGATTTGCATATCAATCATTAATAAATTATCTCCTCTCTCTCTCTCTCTCTCTTTCTCTCTCTCCCTCCCTCTCCCTCTCCCTCTCCCTGTCTCCTGTTCCCTCTCTCCCCTTTCCATCCCTTGGTGTGAATCCATTTTTGTACGTTCTGATATTCCCTCCCCCCTCCGGTGTCTTTTCTCCCTCATGTGATTTCATTGGGGACGGGGCTGACCCTCACACTCCAGTCTGGGGATACGGTTTCCTCTGTGTGACCGTCATTTCCCTCTGCTCCTTGGTCGGGGCCAGTGTGGTTCCCTTCATGAAGAAGACCTTTTACAAGCGGCTGCTCCTCTACTTCATAGCTCTGGCGATTGGTACTCTTTATTCCAATGCCCTCTTCCAGCTCATTCCCGAGGTAGGACAAGGGCCTTCCGGGCCAGGGTGATGCAATTGTCGATGCTTGTGTGGTGTCTGCAGTGTGACCTACTTTGTGCTAGCTGTTTAAACCGCTTGCAGGAGAAGCGATATAGAACCACCGAGCTCCCTTCATTTGTACTTAGGGTGGAAATATATACACCATCCAAACGTTGGGTGGTGGAGCGGTTAGCAATATTGGGTTGTGGAGTTGTTCGCACAGGGAAACAATGGACCATTAATTTAGGTGTTTGCCTTTTGGGAAGGGATTTTTTTTTTTTTTCATGTAAGAGTAAATTCACTCAGTCTGGGATCTGGCCTCGGGAGAACAAATGTCAATTAAGTGAAGGAACACAGACTAAAAGGTCTGTGCCAATCTAACAGGGCAGGAATCCCATATCAACAGAAAACCAAGGTCAGTTGTGCTAGTTTAAGGGTAATTGATCTAATTTCCTGGCAGCACATATGTTGATCATCATACTTTCCCAAGGAGAGTGTTAAGGGAAGACTAATAGTCAGTGGGAAAATGATCTCCACCTTCTATATCAGGGGTTCTCAACCTTGGCAACTTTAAGACTTGTGGACTTCAACTCCCAGAATTCCTCAGCCAGCTTTGAAGTTGAAGTTCACAAGTCTTAAAGTTGCCAAGGTTGAGAACCCCTGTTCTATATAGACTCTTTTATGGAGAAAGGCTTGGGACATAAAAAGGAAGTCCTCTTCATGCTGCTTTTGTGATGAAGATTTTTCAGCACAGAGCACCAGCTAGTTCCAGATCTTTCAGATACGCCTGTATTCATCATGAAAACATACCAGATCCATGGCTTATTTGCTCTAAAATGAATAGGAAACATGTCTTTCACACACTAATATTGTGTATGACATGTTAGCTGGGTCACCTGGAATTGAAATGTTAAATGATGCTTTTTTTTTGCTCTCAAAGCCAGCTAAGGAGCCAAAAAGAATTTATATCCAGGTCTGCTATTTGATATAGACCCATATCTCACTGAAATTTTAACTATGCAACTTCAGTTTGCAAACGGAACACACCAGCTAAATTATTTGATTTTGCTTGCTTATTATGCCTTCTGCATATAATCCCAGGATGTTAGCAGACTTCACATCTGGCTTTCTCTTGGACATGGTCTCCATGTGAAAGGAATGTATTCCTACAGAACAGTGCTCAACTGTATGGCTGAGCATATTTTAGAATTGTGCACAAGGTAGAGCATAATTAAAGACCAGAAGTTTAAAATGCAGTCATCAAAAGCAGAAATTTCAACACATCATCATGAAAGATAGCTAAACATTCATTTTTTAGTTGCTGAGCAAGATAAGATGACATCTGTTGTGGGCTAACTTAGGGACATGCTGTGGTAATACGAATTTGTTACCACTCATGATCAGGAAACACATTTCTTGGGTAGTTTCTCAAGGTCTGGAGCTTTTTAGATCCTCTTTGGTCTACCCTTAGAGGTGATAAGAAAAGAAGACAGAACTTTAGATAGAAAGGATGTTGGTTTGTTTGTTTGTTTGTTTATGCTTTTGATAGCCAACCCCTTTTCTCTCCCTCTCCTCCAGGCCTTTGGGTTCAATCCACAGAAAGATGATTATGTCTCCATATCTGCTGTTGTCTTTGGGGGATTTTATCTGTTTTTTTTCACTGAGAAAATACTGAAGATGCTCCTGAAACAAAAGAACGAGGTGAGGAAAGTAGAGGGTCGTTTTCCCTCAGTTATTTGAGCCTCAGTTGATCCTGACACAATCTTTAGTTCATTGTCTTTGGGCATTTACTTGAATTTTCAATCAGTCAGTCAATTGGAAGAGAGCTGGAAGGGAGGTCTTCTAGTCCAGCCCCTTGCTCATGCAGGAGATCCTATACCATTTCAGACAAGTGACTGTCCAGTCTCTTCTTAAAAATCTCCAGGGATGAAGCACCCAAAACTTCTGAAGGCAAAGCTGGTTAATTGTCCTTGCTGTCAGGAAGTTTCTCCTTAATTCCAGGTTGCTTCTCTCCTTGATTAGCTTCTATCCGTCGCTTCTTGTCCTGCCTTCAGGCCCTTTGGAGAATAAGTTGACCCCCCTCTTCTTTGTGGCAACCTCTCAAATACTGGCACACTGCTATCACGTCCCCTCTAGCTCCCCCCCTTTCATGAGCATCAAATATGATCAAGTAATAAGGAACTAAAGATTTGCTATTTCTTCGAAATATATTAGGAGTTGAAATTCTGCCAGATTATTATTTGCAAGCTTTTTTAAAAAAAAAAATTGTCTGAGAAAATGTCCATGGGAGAGATCTCAGTTTGTTACAGTGTGTTCTGAGATGTTTGTGTAGAACAATAGCCGGTCCTGTTTTGACTTTACTATTACATCATTTATCCTAGGATAATCCCACTCCTTCCTTGATTACATGCTATGGATCTAGGGCAGTGATGGCGAACCTTTTAGAGACCGAGTGCCCAAACTGCAACCCAAAACCCACTTACTTATTGCAAAGTGCCAGGTTGCATCAGCATTGTAGTGCCCTTGGGGGTGGAGGGGCGCGGCCCATTGCAGTGGTCATGGCAGACAGAGTGAGCGTGGCCGGGGCCAGTCCCTCGCCATCTCCAGGGCATCCTGGGATGGCAATACTGCTTGCTCACTCACCTCCTGCCCTGTTGCTTCCAAACGCCATGTGCTCCCTATTCTGGCGAACTCTGCTGGGGCAACGGCACGCGTGCCCACAGAGAGGGCTCTGAGTGCCGCCTCTGGCACACGTGCCATAGGTTCGCCACCACTGATCTAGGGCAGTGTTTGTCAAGCTTGGCAACTTTAAGATGGGTGGACTTCATGGGGAATTCTGGGAACTGAAGTCCATCCTATCTTAAAGTTGCCAAGCTTGAGAAGCACGTGGTCAACTGTTTTTCAGAGGAGGTATCTGCCCCTGCTTATTTTCTGAAAAGGTTGCAATAAACATTTGAAGAAACGAAAGTACCCATCTGCCATTATTTTTCATGGAAGTTTTTGTAATTATATTTTTGTTACACCCTCAAAGAGATTTCTGGAAGTTTAATCCATGAGCTTAATACCAATTCCAACAGAAAAAAAATACTAAAAAAAATACCTATAGATATAAGGAGTTTCCGTCCCAGTTTTAATATGGGATATATTTTGTGCAGAATATGAAATAGATCTTGCCTGTTCGTTTGAGTTCCTAGTTTCTCCCCTTTTCAAGTTTTCAGTACTGATTACAGCTACAAAACAAATGTAGAATTCGTCAGAATTAAAACAGCTGAGCAAACCATGGAGTAGATATTGGAAGGAACAGTCAATAAAGAACAACAAAGAAAAAAAATCATATCTGACAGAAGAATTGTTGCATGCTCCAATATACAGATAGGTGAAAGTACTGAATATGAATGTCTACATGAACTTTCAAAAAGAAGTATTTGAAAAAGATTCCTTTTAACCAAATAATCAGAGAACTTGATGATCTTTTGTGGATTGTCAGGCTTTAAGCATTACGTTGTATATCCTAGAAACATTGGAAAACATCTGCAGTAGAGCAGTTTTGAACTGAGATATAAAAATATGGCAATAGCTGTGAAGCTAAAAAACCGACCTATAGTAATGGAAGGATTATAATAATGGGTAAGGTGATCAAACCGGTCAGTCCTAGAGGAGATCGACCCCGACTGCTCTTTAGAAGGCCAGATCCTGAAGTTGAAGCTCAAGTACTTTGGCCACCTAATGAGAAGGAAGGACTCCCTGGAGAAGAGCCTAATGCTGGGAAAGACTGAGGGCAATAGAAGGGGACGACAGAGAATGAAGTGGCTGGATGGAGTCCCTGAAGCAGCAGGCGTGAGCTTCAATGGACTCCAGAAGATGGTAGAGGACAGGAAGACTTGGAGGAACGTTGTCCATGGGGTCGCGATGGGTCGGACACGACTTCGCAACTAACAACAACAAATATATGGTGCCTCATAGTGAACAGCAAGCCTCTTTTATCTGGATGACACTCACCTCATAGACCTTGTAATGAATGACATGGGATGGAGATCTTTTGATCATCTTGCTGGAATGCAAGAGCTTAGTGAGAAGTCGTCTCTGGACTTCTTGGTGATTTTGGGTGCCGTCAGCTGTGGTATCATCTTGGACTGCTGGGATGGGGACTTAATATCTGTCATTCAGATCCATCCTTGGTGCATCATATCTAGAAAGACTGATGCTCAAGGGAATGTTGTATCCTCCTAAGAATTTCAGCCTATAATATCAAGGTAGTTTTCTTCTGTTTCTTTTTTTTTAATATCTACAGTAGATGAATTTTCTGAGAGAGGTTGCCACTTAGCTCTACCTTTGTTCGTTAAAAATCTTCAATAATTCTTAGGTGCAATAATGAGCTAAGTCAGGAGTAGGCAACCTTGGCACCTTCATGACTTGTGGACTTCAACTCCCAGAATTCCTGAGCCAGCCACGCTGAGGGGAAAGGGAGAGGTTTCCAAGCTGAGCCAGGCTGGCTCAGAATTCTGGGAGTTGAAGTCCACGAGTCATAAAAGAGCCAAGGTTGCCTGCCCCTGAGCTAGCTGGAGATGAACATAGTGGGGTTTAATGCAAATTAGAGGGCAGCCTTCTTTGAAGAATGCTTGCCTCAAGGTTTGTGGCACACAATATTTTGGAAAGGAACCTGCTCACTCCCAAGAGATCAAAACCATAGAAGTGCTTCTTGACTGCTTCTCTCCTGGAATCTCATGCGCAGTTGTTTTCAAGTTGTGGCAACTCCTGTCACTCTAACCTGACCAAAGTTCTCTTGGTTGCATCAGGTCTCAATTATTGCAATATCCTTCACTGGGCACTACCCTGAGAGAGCTTTTGGAAGCATTAAGTTAGAATCTGGCAGCTAATTTGTCATGCCCTTATCATGGTGTCATGATTATGTCACCCTAATGCAGGATTAAAAGATCAGCATGTTTTCTGGGTGTAACTCAAATGTCTGGTCAATGTTAAGAACTCTAGCTTAGAATCCAGTTATCTGAGGGAGTGGCAGGTTCGTTAAGTCTGCAAGCAAGCCTTCCTACTCAGCAGATCCTCTTGTCGGAGAGCGAGAAAAGATCCCCCCCCCTCGTGTCTCGTGCTTGTCTCAGAAATGTGTTCTTTTTGAAGGTGCAATTGCCCCACCTTCTGGTTTCCAAAATGTTTCTAGACCTCTTTTGTTTGAATATAGATTTTCCAAGTGTTTTGAGTGGGTCCTTCCTATCGCCTTCAAAAGATATTACAGTATATTTGATGATTACGGATCGTCAGGTTTACACAGGAAGGCAGGACAAAGGCCTACGAAATAGAACGTAGACCTGGTGGTGGTTGCATCGTATGTATCTTTTTGAACAACTGCATGGTGAAATTGTCTCTGCATTCCCTAGCACCTTCACGGACACAGCCATTACAGCAGTGAGTCCCTCCCTTCTAAAAAGGATCAGGAAGAAGGTGTCACGGAAAAACTGCAGAATGGAGATCTGGATCACATGATCCCTAATAAGAGCAGCGATTTGGAATGCAAGAATCCTTCTGCTGATCAGAAGGTTGTTGGCACCTTGTCTGTTCAGGTCAGTGAATAATTGCACTGGGGTCGCCCAACTTTTGGGGGCCCTTTTGGGGCCAGTGAGCCCTTATTTCTCTCTCTCTCTTTCCTTCTCTCTCTCTCTCTCTCCCTCTCTTTCCCTCCCTCCCTCTCCCTCCCCTCTCTCTTCCTCTGTCTCTCCTTCTCCCTCTCTCCCTCTCTGTTTCTCTCTCCCTCTTCCTCTCTCTCCCTTTCTCTCCCTCCCTCTCTCTTACTCTTTCTGTCTCTGTCTCTCTCCCTCACCCCTCTCTCTCTCACACACACACACTACCACTGTACCTATATTCTCACAGTGGACATACCTATATAGCATGGGAGGTAATGTAGGTAGGTTATCACGTGTTATGTTGCAGGTTCCATAGAGCAGAGGTCCCCAACCTTTTGGGCACCAGGGCCCGGTTCCGTGGAGAGAGGTTTTTCCGTGGACCGGAGGGGGCGTGGTTTTGCGTGCTGCCTGCATCCTACAGATCGGGCTTTCCTTGTTTGTGCAGACCGGTTGCTGGCGTGCTGTGGCCCAGTACTGGTCCATGGACTGGGGGTTGGGGACCCCTGCCATAGAGGGTCTGATGATGTTACCTGATGAGGTTACCTAGTTTGGTAATGAAACGTCTGTAAGAAAACCACCAAGCTCAAGAGACCCTACATTTCAATCCCAAGCTACAAATACTCTCTTCTATAGGGTCCATGTAGGATTTGTTATTCACCTATCATGAGATGATAAGGAATGTCCAGCTTTTCTTAATATCATCCTTCTTTTCCAGGACCTCCAAGCATCTCAAAGCACGTGCTATTGGTTGAAAGGGGTGCGTTATTCAGACATTGGAACGCTGGCTTGGATGATAACCTTGAGTGACGGCCTTCATAATTTCATTGATGGGCTGGCTATTGGCGCCTCCTTCACTGTCTCAGTCTTTCAAGGCATCAGCACCTCTGTGGCCATTCTTTGTGAGGAATTCCCGCACGAGCTAGGTGTGTGCCGCTTTATTTCTGCTTTACAGCTAGAAAAATACAGAACTCCTTTTAGGGATGCGCGTAGTGGGATTCTTATTAAGGAACAATCGAAATAAAAGTAGGAACACAACACAGTACAACAAAACAATGACAGAGATTTCTAAAAATGTCTACACGGGGTAGAAAAGGTGGAAGAAATTTTCTCGTGGTCCTATTCATGGGTCCTTCGGTGATATGCATTTGTCTGTATTAACATCTGGTCAAATTAGATTTCTTTGCATAAATATCAATTTTGATGATTCAGGGCCATAGAGTAGGGGTCTTCAAACTTGGCCCTTTGATGACTTGTGGACTTCAACTCCCAGAATTCCTGGGAGCGTGCCTGGCTGAGGAATTCTGGGAGTTGAAGTCCACACGTCACCAAAGGGCCAAGTTTGAAGACCCCCTGGCCTTAAGACAAAGACGTTGGTCATCTCAACAAAGCATGTATCGGCAGCAGAGACATAGGGTTGATAATATGAGAGAGATGATTTCAAATCATCAAAGACAAAATGCTTCTGGATCAATGTGGTTGGGCAGCAGATCTTCAATCTTCAATTCTGTTCATTTCAAATGCAACCCCCTCCTTCTAACCCCCTTTCGCATTGTGGTTCATCTCGCAGGAGACTTTGTCATTCTGCTGAATTCTGGGATGACAATCCAGCAAGCCCTCTTCTTCAATTTCCTCTCAGCGTGCTGCTGTTACCTGGGCCTAGGCTTCGGGATATTGGCCGGTAGCCACTTCTCAGCCAATTGGATCTTCGCTCTAGCTGGTGGGATGTTTCTCTACATTGCCTTGGCTGACATGGTAAGTGGTAGTAGGCAGGTAAAGGAAGCCAGCTAGTTTCACCTGGTTTCCTTCGGATAGGTTGGTTACAAAACTATAATTCCCCTTTAACCAGGAGAGTAAGACTATTCTGCTTCTTTTAGTCAGAGCCTGAACCTATGTAAAGGGAATCTCATTGGGTGAGGTATAAGACTTCTTGCACAAACAGATCTTGACTCTTTCATGAACAGTACTCTATTTATTGTCCGTTTGGGGCAAAACCTGAACTCAGGAGCCAATTTCGAGCTGTAATGAAAGCGAAGGAAGAAAAAGGAAAGAGTAAAGATGTACAGAAAAACCAACTGTTCTAAAGGATTCCATGTGGTTCAGGATATACATAATCACTCTACTTGAAGAAAGGAAAAGTCACAAATCTTGTTACGCTCTCCCCAAATGCAAAATATCAGCCAATAGTTTTGCCCTAGTTCACTAGAAGATATCTGAGGTTGCCAAGGACCGTCTATGGATCCTGGATTGCAACCTTTTTACACCCCAAAATTACTCTTTTTTTCTTAGTGCAAAGACATTAGCGGGAGATCTTTGCAGGGCCTCCGTAAATACAATTTGGCCTCAACAGCCCCAGCCCAACAAATTGGGCTAACCTGATTCTCATTCTTTAGTCATAACTACAAATTAAGTCCTTCAGGGTGTTTCAGTCTGTTCAGACATCACTCAAAGCGTTGGTGGACAAGCTATTCTTTGTTTTAAGGTTAATAAGCATTGCTCTGAAATCATAGTTTGGGTTTGATTCACCGCTTGCAACTGTAAATAGACATGATCCATAAAAAAAGAGGCGCATGGTTTGCATTCACTCTCCTGGTTTCTTTCTATGCCCTGCACATGTCTCTAATAATTCTACAAAGATGCAAGCACAGCTGAAAAAAGGATATGGTGTTTTTATTGTTAGCCGCCTGGAGTCCTGTGGGAGTGGGGCGGTTTATAAATTTTAAAAATAAATAAATAAGCCAAACAAACCAAGAATTGGCCAAAAAGTCACTTTTTTTTAGCTTTGCTTTTATAACATACTTAACAAACAACAAACGCAAGCGTGGTCGGTCACTGGGATCCGAGGTTTAGTCTTCCGAGCTTTTGGACTCATGCTGGAATCCATCCCCAGGGAACTTCTCTCTACCAAAATGCAGAGAGAAGTACACATTCTGGTAGAGACAAGTTCCAGCACGAGTCTGCAAGCTTGGAAGAGTAAACCTCAGATTGGAGCCCACCACATTATCCTGGGTCATGTATATTTGCCTTCATTTGTGAGAAGCTAAGCCAGGGGTCTTCAAACTTGGCCCTTTGATGACCTGTGGACTTCAACTCCCAGAATTCCTCAGTCAGGCACGAAGTCCACGAGTCATCAAAGGGCCAAGTTAGAAGACCCCTGAACTAATAAGCCTAACGTCTGATCACAGCTAACAATATCCGTGCTTTGTAAAATGACTGATTGATTCTGCCTCGTGCCCGTTTAGAATCAATCTTGTTTGATTTCCAAACTTGCAAGAAAAGTTTTGCATTTGCTGTAGAACAAAACAAAACAACAAAAAGAAAGAAAAGCCACTCTAACTAATTTCCTTGGTCTGTAAGTTCCCAGAGATGAACGAAGTCAGCAAAGAAGACGAAAGGAGCGGAAGGGCTTTGATTGCATTTGCGATTCAGAATGCCGGACTGTTGACGGGATTCAGTATCATGGTGCTGCTCACTATGTTCTCGGGAGAAATCCAGCTTGGATAGAGGCGTCCTGCTGGGAAACTGTAGTTTTTTCCGTCAAGGATTCTGGGAAGGGGCATGTTTATTCAACCTGCTTCTTAGATCTCTTATTCGACTGACCTGCACAGGCTGACAACTTTTCTCTCTAGCGTTAAATGACTGGGGGATCATTTCTTAAGGTAATAACAGCATTTGTCTCTCCCTCCTATCCCCCCTTTCCCCCTCACGTTTTGATGGAATCGATGAAGAAAGGCTTCTGATTTTCGGTTGTTGTTATTCTTGCTTCCTTCTTGGGCACGAATAGCTTAGTGCATATCCCTTTAAGTTACACAAATACCAACCGTTTGGCTAGCAGGAGGCCTTTTTTCCCACTTCCCCCCAATTACTAAGGACAGTGATATTTTAAATTTTAAGCTCTGCATCTGTTTTGGGCCAGTTAATTGGTTGGCTGGAGTTACTCCAAATTTTGTTGGCTGCTGAAAAGCCAGAATAAAAAATTATAGCAAATTAGAGAGCTGTAACTCTTTGGGAGAAATCGACCTTAAGCATGGGCTGGACTAAAAGACCTCTGAGGTCTCTTCCACCCCATGATTCTGGGTTCTGAATCACATGTGTGAGAAAGGAAAAGTGCTCTTTGTGGCATGTACACCATCTAAATATGAAATAGCATGTTATATTGAAAACTCATACCAATTGATGCAGTGGGCTCTAGTAGGAATGTATGTGGAGCCAATTTGACTTAAAATTCCTTTACTCAAATGGCATGGTTATATATAAATTATTTAGGACTCCAAGAAAGAAAAAAAAAGACTGTCCTGGAAGATACATTTTGAACCCCTCCAGTGCCCTCTTCCCCTCTTGTTTTCAAAAGTGCATCGTTTTCAGCCTTTCCTTTAACATCTCCTTTTTTAAAAATTTCCTTTAAAAGATTCACACAAAGGCTGGCCCATCCAGCTGCTACTTTGCAAGTTCATTTTGTGTAGGATAAATCTGGCCAATGTGGAGTCTATTTATATCTGGAAAGAAATGATGTATTAAGTAGTTGAATTGCATCCTCTGGCTGGTGTGAAGGTTTTGGGATTGTTTTATGGAAATGAAGCCTAGATTTGGAGAATTTGCTGGAGAGATTTATTGCAGGATTAAATTTCTCAGAGTTCACTAGGTGAACTGATGTATTATCATATTGATAAGATCAAGCCTGACAGCTTAAGTGTGTAGCACATTATTCACATCACAGATCCTGTTTAAACATTTGAAACGGTTATGCTTGTATCAGCAAAAGGAAACTCAGTTCTCTTCAGTAAAGCTAGGAAAATACCTTTTTAAGCCAAACTCTGCAGCATCTCCATGTAGCTGAATAATTCCTTTCTGTATTATGGATAAGTTGTACACATTCCCCTTTTCTTTGGAGCATCAATGGAACATCAGATGGGACTTGAATACGGAGGTAGCAAATCCCAAAGACTTTTCTTTATCTATACTTTGCAATTTAGAGTGGGATCCACAAAGACGTTCTTTTGCATAATCAAATCCGATCTGTTCAGAAGCTCTCTGTGTCTCTTCCTTCTCTCTCATAGATTGTATAAAAACTCTATGGTTGCATCAACCAGGGGTCCACATCTGCCTAACGTGAATTAGTTTACTCTTTTCAGTAAAGTGTAACTGAAAAGTATGTAGTACTTCAGGATGATCCGTGTAACTTGGCCTTGGCAGCTATGATTGAGTTAATTGTGTGAGTATGGCAGATCTATCTTTTTCTCATTGGTTCGAGAGAAGGACCAAGTGGAAAACTGTTCTGGGAAGTCTAATCTATACCTCCTAAACCAGTGGTTCTCAACCTTTTTAATGCCGTGACCCCCAACTGGTCATAAGTCGAGGATTACTCAATTGGTCGTAAGTTGAGGACTACTGGTGCAGCACCGTTTGCAGAATGGGACTTTTGGTGGGCTCAGCAGGGCAGAGACAGCCTGGACAATTCCTATTGGCTTTTGAAAGCCAATAGAATTAGACTCTATTCAAGAGAGTCTATTCTATTGGCTTTCAAAAGCCAATAGAATAAAAGGGAGTAGCACAGCTAAGGAAAAGGGGGGAAAAAATGGCGGACTGCGTTGTTTGGCGACCCCCGTGAAATGGTTGTTCGACCCCAAATGGGGTCCCGACCCACAGGTTGAGAACCACTGTCCTAAACCTACTGAAAATTCAGCTGGTGGTTCCCATAGTCTTCATGTTGCTTCTTCGGGCCATGCTTAGGGATGCTATGCGTATAATTTCAAATTATACACAAGTCTTCTTAAAAGGAAAAGATGGAGACCCATTGGAGCAACAGTGGAGGATGAAGCTAAACTTAGTGCAGATCTCCAACTCAACCCATACCACTTGCTCACCATTTTGTAAAATGATTATACACGCCATTGTGAATAATTAGGAGGATGTTTTGCTTAACTTTGGCTCTTAAATGGTTGATGGCAGTAGCCTGCTCAGATAAGAGGAATCAGCCCCTCTGAGATGCTTGCAGTTCAAACCCTTATGGAATATAATGATGATAGCTAGCTTTTAGCCTCCAGTTTAATGCAACTGATGTTTCAAAATACAGTGCATTCAAATGGTTGTGCAGGCTTTTTCAAGTGTAACCTCCTAATAAAATATACTGTTTAGCCTTTTCTGCAAGTCTTGTGAAAGAGCAATCTTTGAGCATGCCTAGAAATTTGAGGTCCTTAGATGAGATGCATAAAATGAAATGCCGCTAAAGAGGCATTGAATTTCCTCACCAAACTATATTGTAAAGTGCTGTGTTACATTTAGAGGAGCCCCAGTAGCATTGATCTAACCTAACATGGCAGTGATAAACAGAAACTGCCATGTTTACTGCTCTGCATGGCTCTTATTGCTATGCTGCTTGATCAAATCATCACTGTTACCTTGAACCAGTCTACATTGCCAACAGGCGTCTGCTTGGCTTTGTCCAATAAATTACCTTTAGTTTTCTCTCTATGGCCGCATTATCATTCTTAAAGCATCTTATCTATATTCTGGTGGGACACATATTACCTAGTCTGCTTAACAGGCTGCGCCGATTCCCCGATTGTCCAATTCAAGGTATTGATGTTGACCTTTAAAGCCCTACATGGCATGTGACCACCTCTCCTCAATTTACATCGGTCTGTCCCAGCAGAGGAAGCTGAGAGGGCATTTATAGGTTCCATTGTCTTGGGAATTGCATTTGGCAGGGCCCAGGCCAGGGGCAACTTTAAGACCTGGGGACTTCAACTCCCAGGATTCCACAGGCAGCCCAATGGCTTGAAGTTCAGAGGTTGCCAAGGTTGGAGATACTCTGCCATAGGTGATGGACCTTTTCTGCTGTGGCGCACATATTGTGGCATATTGTCCATCCTGGCATGAAGTTGGTTCCATATTTCTGAGCTTCCAATGTTCCATCAAGACTTGGTTGTCAGGAGGCCTGGGAGCTAGTGAGGCAACTCCATTATTATTAATATCTCTTTGCCTGCCTACTATTTGTCTTAGTTTTGTTGTTAGAATTTTTAATGATGATCATTATTTTAGGTATTTAGATTTGCTGTACATCTCCCAGAGTCACTTGTTTGTGACATGAGCAGCTGTATAAATTAGTAAATAAATAACAGTCCCTATAGAAAAAGCTTTTCAACATAATTGTGACCAAATTAGCCTGAGCTGGGGATCCCTGATTTCGCTCTTCTAATTGTGTTACTTTAGCTAGTTTCATCCTCTGCATGTTACTAATATATCAAAATGATTCTTCTTTGCTTCTAAAAAGGCCAAAATGGAATAGTCTAGGTCTTGTGCTGTGTGATTTTGTTTTTCACTTGAAAGTAGATTGATGCAATATGATGTCGTTCTTGTGGCATCACTTCCTAACTTCTGCTTAAGGACTAGCTGTTTGAATACATCAGTCTTCCCAGAATTATAAGGAGGTGGTGAATCTCTGGCCAAGAGAACGTTACTGCAGCTGCTCTAAATTCTGACAGCCAGATCAATGTCTACACTTCAAAATTTGAAGATAAAATTAAGTATTTAAATAGGAGAGATTCCTGTTGTCTTCTCCAGTACCTTCACTACAGCAATACAAATTCCCGTTCTAAGTAACTATCTAGCTATTTAATACAATTACTGTACTTAAATATGAGAGTTTCCTTTTGATGTGGAGCTAAGTTCACTCAGAGACAAAGGAGCATCAGTTTAGTTTGACAGTTCAAATGGTTATCTGAAAATGGTATCTGAAATGGTGTCTGGCAGATTGGATGTGTAGTTGGGTCTACTGAGTTCAGTGGACAAAGCTTGTGGACATCATATTAAAGGCTGTAAGGAGGTTGAGGACTACTGTGTGTGCAACTGCACTATGGATATTTGTAAGAATGTGCAAAGAAGATACCAAGTGCTTATCCAGTGAGAAGGAAAAAGCAAAACTGACCAGTTGTGAGCAAATGTTGAATTTTAATTTATGACACTTAGAAAATTGGGGCTTTTCCCCTATCTCAGTATTTAAATAACTCAGGTGTTGTAAGAATACTTGTCGAAACAAAGAATATAAATTATGTTATGTGACTTGTTATTCGTAAAAAAATAAACTTCTATTATGACAACTGAATTGTATTTTTTACTCCCAGCATGAATCTGGAAGGAAATATCCTTCATGTTTTGACCCCTTTTAAAAAAGTTTTATTACAAAGGAAAAAAAATATGCTGTAGTAATCTATTGTGAGAGAGCAAAGCAAGGAGTCTTGAACAAAACAAGTTCTGTAAGAAATTGTATTTTCAAATTTGCTTTTAGTATAAGAGGTGTCATGAAGGTTAGACATGTAATTAAAAATATAATTATTTAGTAAAACAGCAAAAGCCAATAAATGGGATGCATTCTATAAGTAGCTTTAAACTTGATGTTGTGTCCTGCAAATGGCTAGGACTTTTTTCCTAGTCTCTACCCCAGTGCCCTCCATTAGTTGTGGAATGCATGGACAAGAATCTCAGATTGTTTAATCAGTGGGTTGATGCCATACATATAATATAATTATGCATACAGTAATTAAATGCAAGATCACTGATTCAGTTTTTTTGCATGCCCAGGTTTGCTTTTTTTATAACAGATTGCTAAGCACAAGCCCTTTGAACTCTGGACTAACCAAGGACAAGCAACCTTGTTGTAAATGATTGAACAATATAGTGGGGGTTTAATTATCTATTTTTTCTTAGTTCAACATTGACCTTTCAACTTTAGATGTAGTTTTACTTTTAAAACAGAAGATGGCAGCCATATATATTATTTAAAAATTATGTATTTTTTTAAAAGAAAAATAACATTTTTACATCAAATTGATTAAAATATTGTACACCGAATGCCAACTTGCTCTAAGTGATTTTTAATTTTCTCTCAATAAACTATATGTACTTTAAAATTATACAAAAGTAATGACTGAAGGTTTACAAAACAATGTGCAAAATATATTTTAAAATGTCTTTAAAATAAACCTTGCTGCCTGCAGCAGATGAAATGACGGTCAACTTGACACAGATTCTTAAGTTTTCTATACACGTATAATGCATTAAACATATCTTATTATAGATTTCCCCCCCAACATTTTGCTTCTTGTAAAAATATAGACTGCTTTTCTTAAATTTAAATATGAAGTCTCCCCTTTTTTGACGAAGGAAAAAAAATCTGATTTGAAGCAGATTTGTAGGGTTTCTGCCTTTCACTTTTCTTACGTTTATCAAGCCAATAGACTTCCAAGGCGATTGGCCCAGCAAAGTCTAAAAAGATGCTCAGTCCTAAGGTTAAAAAAAATAAAAAATAAAATCAAAATGACAACCCACCAGAGGAGGGTTCCATTTTCATCCTTGTAACCACGGGCAACCCTACCCTCTGCAGAGGAAGCATGGAGGAAATTAGAAAGGTTCAAAAGATTGCATCAGAAATAATATCAGAACTGAGTAGTAGTGACATTAGGGATGCTCCAGAGGATCATTTTGGAAAGGGAAGATAACGGGTCTGGCGATGGGGGCGGAAAAGCAGCAGCAACTGTGAGCTCAAAGCCTTGGCATCTACTGCAGGCACGAAAGCTTCGGCTAAGCCAGCGCCCGTTTGGGCAGATGCCACTTCCGCGGTGTTGCTAGGAATTATACCTGGCAACCAGCAAGGACAGATGGGGATGTGGGGGGAGGGCAGCCCTTTTCCAGATGGGCAACCCTAAGATCCTTATTGCAAAAGCCACCCAAGGGGGGGGGGCATCTCAAGCTGATGCCAGGCCCATGGCTGGCCCCCGAAGCACACAGCCACCCTCTACAACAGGGGTCCTCAAACTTGGCCCCTTTAAGACTTGTGGACTTCAACTCCCAGAATTCCCCAGCCAGCCATGCTGGCTGGGGAATTCTGGGAGTTGAAGTCCACAAGTCTTAAAGGGGTCAAGTTTGAGGACCCCTGCCCTCCAATGCCTACGTGACGTGTAGGGGGCTCTGGATCCGTCTGTGCGCGAGGGAAGCCAGTGGGGGGGGCATCCAGAGGGGCAGGAAAGCAGGACCCCCCCCGGGACGCGCTCCAGTTTTTAGGGCGAGGACAGACCCCCCCCCTTGAGGCCATAAGGGGGGGGGAGCCGAAGCGCTCCCAAGAAGAGGCTCCTTCCGCTCCGCCCCCGGACGGTGAGGCAGCCTCTTTCTTCTCAGGCACTACCTGCCCGTCTCCTAGCAACCCTCCTTTTTCCCCCCCCCCATCAAAATGGCGGCCGGGAAAGAGGAGACGGGGAACCCCCATTGCCCGCAGATGGAGCACGTGACCGAGGGGAGGCGCGGCCGACGCCTGGGGCTTGCCTTTTCCTCGGCGCGCGCAGGCGTGACGGAAGCCAATCAGAAAGCGCGGGGCGGGCTACAGCTCGCTTCCTGGCAAAGCCGAAGGCGGGGAAGGGGAGGGCGGAG